AAAAATCGATAACAACCATATTCTTGCGAAGATCTTGATAATGACGAAATGTCCTAGGGAGGCTATATGCCCTCGCGATATTAACATATCACTAATGCGCAGACACTGAAATCATCAGAAGAGTTAGAAACTTAGCCCTACGGCATCCAGAAGTGACACGTAGAACGAGAAAATACCTAGCTTATAAACAAAATAGGTATGTCATCCCAACGTTCCAAAATCATAGCATATTCAACAGACAGGCGTCTTCGTTGGCCTGAGTCCTATTTGAGAGCCTCAGGCCTCTTATTCATAATAAAATCTCACAACGCGAGCATTTGCCCCCCGGAGCATAGAATCAGAGTGGATATATATATATATATATATATATATACATACATACCTACACCCAGACGCAGACAAGTAACACCACCATGACCCCTTGAATTCATTTGGCATACGAAACAAATCTGTCATGTGGGGTTATCCTGTCCTTTGATCTTATCAGCTGCAATCTTATCGTTCGTTACTACTAGCACCACTTTTGCTGTTATTGTTGCGATGACTAAAACCCGTACGAAACTTGCCAGAAGCTGATCACTATGCGGAGAAGCTTCTAAGAAATCTTTTTCCAGCCCTTACATCAAGATTTGCTATAGAAGCCTTTCTAGAAGCTTGAGAAATTCGTTCATATCCTTTACGAACGAAACACAGAGTAAGAGATGTTCGAATAATCTGTATGAGATTTGTGCGCAATTCCAAAGAGTCGATCAGAAAGATTTACTAGGCCACCATCGGAAATATTCTGCTTTTAGTCAGACTTGCCAAGTTTTCAATGGTTTCATGTTATAAAACCTATCGTCATCGATCATATTCGGTCAGTGTGCTTTGTTTTGCAACGGTAGCACACAGAATGGTGCGTTGGTCTAAATTGCCTTCAGCAATGAACCCTTCACAGAAACTCTCAGTTCGCGAATCGAACTGCATTCCTGATGAGCTGAGGCCTTTGAGAAGCATCTGCGCGCACCCCACCTACCCCTGAACCTGTTGAATTTGACGTGGGCATCTGTGCATCTCGAAAAGCCAAACTCGGCTGCAGTGGGCTTGAGGGTCAAGCTCTGAATTCCGGCTCTCCAGGAACACCCAATGATGCTCCGAAGAGTAATATGTCTGTAAATGCTGCGAGGGAACCGAGGCGACGACGAACATCCAGATGAGTTGCTCTGAACTCTTCTGCAAGTCGTCTCTACCTGCCCGGGCAGCCGCGGCCTCAAAGGGAAGCAGCTGCCACATCACAGCCAGCGAGAAGGTCTCTGGCCACTGCGGAGCACGCTACATTGCTGTAACTAAAAGCAACGGCCAACAACAAGTATTTCAACATTAAAGAGATCGGGTAGCAGTGGCAGGCCATTTCAGCAAAACGTAAGATTCTATTCAAAAGACTATGTGCATTGGTGAAGCACCTCCGGGCAACTGCTGGCTTCGCGCCTAGACCACGGAAGCCCAAATTGCACGCGCAAAAGGGAATCCGGTCTGCCTGTTACTAGCACTCGTCTTTTGTATGCTACTTACATATTCACTAGTAACTAGTACTTTCGGGCCTCAGCAACGACACGTGACCGCGATACGAAGTTACGACGAGACTGTGGCACAAAGTTGTTTTGAGCGGCAGGACTTATGTTTCTGAGTCAAAGTTAGTGGCGATTCGCCCGTCATGCCTCACCACGGTTTACAGCAGACTTGCTTCATCTCCTGCGCCGTGCACCCAGAAGATGCTTTCACCGGAGAAATGGGTTCAGTGGTCCAACAGTCAGGTTTGGCAGTTGCGTGCCACAGCTGCTGTAGTTGGTCGCTGGTCCGTACACCTTGAGCGCAAACTCGAGTGGACCAAGTCAAACGAATGCAGCGATTGTCTTCCAAGGTGGTATGTGCGAGCCAGCTGCACCCATGCTGAGAATAGACAGGCATGCACTGCATTGAGTGGCGTTGGCATTGGCACCTTCATGCTTTCGGACGTGCTTTGCATTTCCAGCTGATTGCAGTTAGGGGACCGTCGGCGAGGAGCCAGGCAGCAGCCTCGGATTAGATGCGAATCAAGACTGGGAGAGCTGGATCTGGCGCTCCTCTTCCCTGACTGCTCCCCGATAATCCTTCGATTCTTTCATTCACCAGGCATACTGTCGCAGATGCAAACCGCCTTTCCTGGATGCTTCGGCCACCTTTTCTAGTGTCGGACCAGGCACAACAAACAGATTCAGGTCAGGTGAAGTTCTATCATCACTTGGCAGGAATGCTTGCCGAGCCACGGAGGGACAGCCCCTGGTACCTTCCAAGTGATTGCAAGGACATCGCCGGATTTTCTGACTGTGCTTTCTGCACTTGACTCAGGGAACAGCGAGACGTAAGATAGCACAGCTAGAAACCGTAGCGTCAGCTGCAGATTGTATTTACCGCCAATCGTGGCAACGATCCACCCAGGCCCTGGCCTGGTTTCCGCATCCGTTGCAGTACGCAGCATCTGGCCTGGGCGGTATTTTCCTTTGTGGACAATGTGGGTAATATTTTTGCTTGCTGAGCTGCTCTTGATCGCAACATTCTGAAACTTCTGACCTCCGTACCGCTAAGTGTGTAGCGGAAGCGCTCCACCATAGCCGCCATATGCAGCATTCATTGGCGCCCCATGCGAACCACCACCGGAAATGCTGACAAGGTTTGCCGGCACCTGTAGCACTGAACAGAGCCACAACGTTGACAAGAAGCCGCATCAGAAGGAAAACTCGCATCAAAACAAGCTGTCAAACTTCAAGTGTGGCTCGGAACTCGATGGGTGCCTCGATGACAGATGCTTCAACGGGGGCGCCCCTGGAAAGCAAGGAGCAATGAGAAAGCAGCTTGGACCCAGGAGGGGGGCACCCAAAGTGGAGCACCATGGCAAACTTGCTTTAATCTGGTTTCTTTGGTCATCGATACCAAGCTGGACAACTGCGTTGAGATGCGACAGTGCTTCAACAAGACTTGGAGCCCGTCATGGTTGATTGCGGGGTTGCCATCATGCCGAAGTCGACCTCATCGATTGCTGGTGCTGGGTAAGCAAGTCTGGGCCTAGCGTCGCAGCCTGAGACTTGACTTGGCCTCGGATTACCACATGGCCGGCAAAGGCCTAGGATGGAACGAGGCTGAGGCAGTCGTTGCGGATCTTGCAGACGGAGATACTCCTCCATCGACCTCATGCTCGGCCACGTTTATCATTCAACACGTAGCCGTGCAATTGAGGGCTTGAACAAGTGTAGGAGGGAGTGCAGTATTCCTTGAGTCGATGCTTCTTTGTGTTCGTTCAATGGGATCGGACACTTGTCAGTGTTGTCTGTGGCTGTTTCCACACTGAGCCACGGACAGGGTAGTACCTGGTGTTAACCTGTGCGGTCGCGCCAGCTGCTGCAATGCCGGCTCGTGCATCGCACCGCATCACGTCTTGAGGTCTGGACGGCACCGGGAGTAGGCGGAGGCAAGGTCGACCTCAACATGTCTGCAGCTACCACCCAGCCTCCTCCTCTCCTGCTGCTCCCTCCCGGGGAGTGGGTCAATCCACTCTCTGTTTTCAGCTCCGTTTCGGTGATTCCCTCCAGGATCAAGACGCACGAGAAGGCACAGGAAGAAACCCTTCGGCAACGCACGCGAATGAGCTGTCCTTCTATGCCTGGCTTCACGGGAGCCACTGTCTCTATCACTAACAAACCCTGAAGGACACCGTTCCTCAATGAGGAGCTTGATAGCGGCCATAACATGATACCTCTTTAGAGTGAGCCCAGCATCTCTTCCCAAGTTTCAGACTGTGAAACGGCGCTAAGCGCTCACATGGGGTCCGCACGCTGCCAAAGAGCCGCCTGCAGTCACCATGGAGACGTCAGCACCTCAGAAGGGAAGCAGAGTTTTACTTTCTCCCTAACTTCTTCCCGATCTGGGAGAGGAGATGCGCCAAGCCCTTAACACCTCTCTCACATCCCAGTAGGAGCGCAGAATCGGTGTTCTTGAGCTCTCGGCCGGTCCAGTCCAGTCGCTGGCGATTCCTGACCAGCTCCTGGACCTTGTCAGGGCAATGAGGCTACTGTGCAAATTGCTACACATCTCCTCTTCAGGGGCCTCGAGTCGAGTCATGATTCAAGGCAGATCACGGGTCAGGGCAGTGGCGAGGGTGCATGTCTTTATGCATTCCGCCTGTGTAACTTCGTCAGATCATATGAGCACATTGTCACAAGACATGATGGACCTTTCAGACCCAACATGACCCAACGAAACACAAGGACGGTAAGTTACAGCACCCTCCTCGATTACTTTGGCAACCTTGAACCCTCCGCACCCACAGGTGACGGGCCAGGAGTCCGGCCTCAACAACCTTGGGCACGTGCTTAGTAACCTTTCAGACAAGGCACTTCCTCCCACACTCTGACTCTGCGTCTGTTGCAACAACTCACTTTCTCAGCTTGTCTGGAGCTATCGGAGACTTCTTTAAGATCGGCCGTATGAAGCCCCCTGTCCGCAGGGGTTGCGCAGTCTCCGGCTTACGTGGCTCAATACTTTCTGCTGGCCTCCTGCACTCGAATTTCAGGATGCTCGACAACCTCAATTGGCAAGCGCACTGTCCAAAGCGAGCAACCAAGAACGTTTCTGACATGCCGCCAACCCCGAGATAAAAGCGCGCTCAAGAAATCAGGAAGCTGAGGCTCACTCCTTCTCCTGCACCTGAGACCACACCGGAACTGGGACTCGGTCCCGCTTGTCCGGTTTTGGCTCAGGTTCTATGCTAATTACCCTCAGTGGCAACTTCGACAAGGCTTCATAGGAACCGCTCCGTGACTCAAGATGACTCAAGTCTTGAAAAACCTTGCATGCTGATAGAACACCTGACGTGTCCCGTCCAACGCCACGACACGAACATATAATAGCAATGCCGAGCCTGCACACACGGAACCTCGACGATCCTCTCGCGTGTCTCGATCTTCGGAACGGTCACCTGCAGCGTGGAATGCAGCACACATACAACACGAAGTGACGACAACCAGCGTGAACTGCTTGATCTGAGCAGGCCACGTGTCGAATCACTTCCTGCACCTGCACCTTGGGAACCTTGTCAAGAGACTGTTTTTTAGGGGATACTGCGAGCACGGCAGACTGTGTACCATGCAAGATAGAAACCAACTTTGGAACATCGCCTCGACAATTTTCTCAACTGTCCGGACGTGGGGCACCTGGCAATGAATGCAGCACTTCTGCAAACCATCAGCCCAGGCCTCAGGCGATCTTTTACGAAGCCATGGTGCTGTGTTCCTTGGATGACTCGCAACCGATATCTCCCAAGTAAACTCAAAGGCCTCAACGACGCGCTCACGGACCTGCACATCCACCTGCACGAGGCCAATCGATTCTTACGACTGGGCTAAGCAGAGCCGGCGAGCAGAAGGACAGCCCAGCTGCTGGCTTCAGATCTCTCGCATAGGTTGCGCCTTCGGCACATGCCGAACCACTTCCTGGACCTGAAGCTTGGGCACGTGCTTCACGACCTCGTGCACCTGGCAATGCTTTCCTGGAGGGGATATGCGCAGAAAGAGCAGCGCATAGCAACTCCAACATCTGCCCTCTTTCAAGCGACAGCGACACAGACTTGAGCAGCATCACAAGTCCAATTCACCAAGCCCTGAGCCCGCCTGTGTCTGCGGGACCTGAGAGACTAAGCCCAAAGCGGAAACGCTGTTTTGAATGTCTTTGTGATCTAGCGGTGCCACAACTCGCTCTTAATCCTCCTCCTCCTCCTCCTCCCCCTCCTCCTCCTCCTCACCCTCCCGCCTCAATGATCTTTTCGACGACCTGCACTTGAGGGACTTCGATCACCTTCTCCTGTGCACATGGCTTGCCCACTGAGACAACGAATTCAAGGTGTGGATTGCAGTGTGGATTGTCGCAACTTTTGTTTTTGGAACATCCTGACTGTGTGGTACACAACGTGATCCATTTGCACTTTGGCCAGACCCTTGTGCTTACATAACACGTTACTGTGCGGCAATGCTACAGTCTGGGAAGATCGAGAGTCCGCTCAGACACATTTGCTTTGCGCTCTGGTGCCTGGATCTGCACGTCGATTTTGGGAACGTGCCTCACAACCTCTTGCACGTGAACCTTTGGCACCTGAGATCAGATGTTTGAGCGCATGCCATACCGGCAAGAAGGTTGGCGAAGCTAGACTCCTAGACGATGTTACGAAAGCTACGAACGCAGGAGCTTAAGGCACAACTGGTGCGAGATCTGCGGGTGCAGAAGTTCTCGCAAGCTGCTGGAGAATGTTCAATCACTCCATCTTTGCGTCACAAATCTAAAATGTACCGAGCGACGTGACGCACGACCTCCTGCACTACGGTCTGAGGCACCTCCACAACCTGCCCGGTGCGAATTCTCAATGGCAGACGCACACTCATCAAGCCGCTTGCAAAGGATTGCAAGACAGAGTCGTGGAGCAGACATAGAGAAGATGTCGAATGCTTACTTAGGTGCTATCCGCCGACCCAGGACGCGCCCAGAAGCTGCGAGTGTTTTGTCATCCCCAGCACGACTTTCCCACCCAACTCCACTCAACTTTATACAACCCTACCCAGCGTACCTCTCCAGGCTCCCTTTGGGCAAATTCTTGCTAGATTTTAATAGTAGTAGTAGTAGTAGTAGTAGTAGTAGTAGTAGTCGTCGTCGTCGTCGTCGTCGTCGTCGTCGTCGTCGTCGTAGTCGTAGTCGTAGTCGTAGTCGTAGTCGTAGTCGTCGTCGTCGTAGTAGTAGTAGTAGTAGTATAAGTTAATTGAACCCCAAGGCATGCCCAACCTGTCCCCAGCGCCACCCAACTCCACCCAACCCTACCCAACCCTACCCAACCCTACCCAGCCCCACTCCAGGCTCCGACTGGGCGAGTTTTTGCTAGATTTTAGTAATGTTAAAAGTAACTTAATTGAACCCCACTGCATGCCCAACCCCCCCCCCCCCCAGCGCCCCACTCCAGGCTCCGTTTGGGCTAGTTTTTGCTAGATTTTAGTACATTACTTCCTACTTACTCACGAACTAGTACGTCCATAACCAGTTAACATACTGTGTACTTGTGACTTACCTACTACTTACTTCCTACTTCCTTACTATTTACCAAATACTCGCTTGGTGATTACTCGATTACCAACTTCCCATTTACCTAGTACTCGCGTACTACTTGCTTACAAACTTGATTGCCCACCTACCTCCTTACTCACTGGCTTACTTACCTCCTCGTCCTCCTCGTCCTCCTTCTCCTCCTCCTCCTCCTCCTCCTACTACTACTACTACTACTACTACTACTGCTACGAATTACCACTCCTACCACCACTAACACTACCACAACCACTACCACTGCCACTACTTCCACTGCTGACTGGTACTACTACTACGACGACGACTACTACTACTCCTCCTCCTACTCCCGCAACTCCTGCTACTCCTACGGACTGCTACCCCTACTGATGGCCTTCTCGACGTGCTGTATCTGCGGAACTTCGATGATGCGCTCCTCCACGCGAACGTCCTCAGAAGGCAGAGGGCTCTGCGTTGATTTGTATGATTCTGCACATGCTCTGAAAGTCATGCATCATCTCAGCCTGGATGATCAATCAAACAGCATCTCTTGCACTGTCGGTATAACCTCCTTTCCTACAGTCACAGCTTGCCATTGCACTAGCACCATACCGTTGCAGAGCAAGAATCGATCTTCGGAACGTGCTTCACCTTGCAGCAGAGCAGAGACAATCCAGGAGCTTGTTGACTGCAAGTCGAGTCACGCCCCGCTTTAGATGCCAACCAGTTGCAATCTCTTGCACCTGGATCTTTGGGACGTGCCTGTCCACCGTTTGAACCACAGTTTGCGGCACCTCCACGATCTTCTCCTTGATGCAAACAATCGATTTTGGAGCAAGCGGGGAAGCCGAAAAGCAGTCCTTCGGGTGCCAGACAAGACAAGGAATAATTTGCCACCCGGTTGCCACTTGATGGATTTGCGGGTGCTCGACGATGCGTTCCTCAAGCTTCACCTGTACATACAATTTCCAAACTCTACCTAGTCCAGGCGGCTTTGCAGCGCACGCATTGAATTTTTGGCATCAACGGTGAAAAGCATGGCTTCCGAAGTCTGCCTCGATTTTTGGAACGTGCCGCACAATTTCCTGCACTTCGATCTTGGGCACGTGCCGCACTACCTGCCCACGGGCATAAGATGGGATGGCCCGAAACATAGGGCAATTCATCTTGTTGATTCTGACGGCTCGCAAGACCTTGAGCCCTTGCCTCCTGGACACGAACCTCTGGGACTTCAACGATCTTCTCGACGTACTGCACTTGTGGGACCTGGCATCACGTATGAGCCATCGCAGAGAGCGGCACACTGCACAAGGGCTTCCAGGCAAACGTCCAGTGCCCACCTCCACGATCTTCTCCACCTTGCATCTTTCATTACATTTCGCTGTTTTCGGGCTTGGCACTCGATCTGTTGTCAAGCCTGCCTGTGAAACTCCCAGTCATTGGCTGAGGTGGCTGCCGTTCTGATTTCGATCTTCGGCACTGTACGCACGATCTCCTCTTCGCTTGGCTGTCTGATTGTCTAATTGTCTGGTTGGCTTGTGACGGCCTATGTCGTGTGCCGACTCTGTGGCAGTTCGTGTCCGTTCCTGTGTCCCTTTAGCTCAGCAACATCGAAACACCGGCCTGTGTCTCAATCTTCGGCACATGCCTGTGATCGAGGAGCTTTGCGGCTTTGCACGACAACTTCACAGGGCGTCCCACTTCCCGCTACATACACTTTAGGTCGGTGAAAGTTCTAGGCTACCACGAGAGAGGCATGCTGAGCCTGACCACTTCCTGTACTTGTACCTGCGGCACCTGGCGAACCATCACCATCCGCTGTTCGAAGTTCGAGCATACTCGCTGCTGCAGATCGTCCGCGGTCTGGCCTCGACGACTTTGTCAACATACTGCACCTGTTTTTCGTGGATGCCATCAACACTTGGATGATTTCGCTACGCCGGATTGCACGCATGTTGAAATAGGCCCTGCAGATTCACAAGCAGAATGCCTGTGGCACTTCGACCAGCTTCTCCACGACTTGCGTGTGGATCCTGACGTAGCAGAAGAGTAGCACGACAGATGCTAGTGTTTGACAGGAGGTGCCGAGCAAGACCGATGCAACATGCTGTGCTGGCAGGGTAACGCGTTTATCGGATGTCTCGTACCATGTCCCCTCACCTTGCCGGCCAACACGCAGGGAGGTGTCCCACGAATGGCATTTGATGGCTCTTGCTCTTGTGAGATCCGCCCAGACTGGACATGCTGGGATCTCTAGAAATGCCCCCACCCCCCCTCACGGGCGCCACGGTGATCTTTCATAGCATCCGTGTCGCTGACTCCTTCAATAGGCCCCGGTTCCTTACTTCTGGGCCACGTATTGCCAAGTGCGTCGAATGCTACCAGCCATGGGTAGCACGTTGGCGACGTACATTTCGGCGAGAATCATTACTATCATTTGCACCTCAATCGCGGGCTGGAACTGTACTCTGTGGTGTAACACGATGGCAGTATACAGCAGCATGACAAAGACAGCATATGTAACACATGTCATGTGCCAGGTGGGAGGGAGGCCTCCATCTTGCAGGCATGTGAATGCTTAGAACTCAGTGCAAAGACATGCAAAACATGCCATGGCCACTTTGGAACGTGATGAAGTCGTTCTTGGATCTCGACTTTAGGCACCTGTGAAGCACAACGGGGACAAACACATGGTAAAAGTCATGACCACCATTACATAATCATCATTATTGTAGACGTTCACTCTTGACACTTGAATTGCTGGTTTGCCGCCCATAGTGGAATGAGAAGAAACGCCCAAATTCAACCCCAACAAACTGTAGCTAGTTGAGCAGAACATGACCTCCACAAGCTTCTCGACGAGCTGGACCTGTGGCACCTGCATGCTGTCACTCTTGAAGAAGAATCACGGATGCATCGCAAGTCTTCATAGCTGGATTGCGGCACCGGCAGGACAGTCGCCAAGGCCTTTGCTAATGATCGTGACACACCGTCCCGGGCCTCGACGATGCGATCGACAGTCCTAAGCAACAGCTTGTGTAGTTCGATATGCCCTCGACATGTACCCTCCTTGCTGGTATTCCGTTGCACCTTTAGCACGTGCAGGCGATGTCTGCGAACCATTGCCCACTACAAGTTTTGGTGTCACCAAGAAGGCTATCTGCATCAGCATCTCAGAACGGCTGGTCGTTTGGCCAGACACTGCTAGGTGCATCTCCACTGCGACGGCATGAGGTAACGTGCCGTGCCATTGGACGCCCTTGCTAAGCTGAAACAAGTCAAGGCTCTGAATTTCAACTTTGGGCACAGTGCGCACGACCTCCTGGACTTGAACCTTCGGCACCTGAACGCAACATGAAGACGCAAACCCTCATGGCTTTGACGTCCTGGTTTGAATGGACAGGACTTCCCACTCCCTGGATCCTCAGACCTAAGTGCCGAGCTTCGACCAGTCGCTCCTCAGTCTCTGCGTGGGAGCTCTGCGTGCACAGATGCAGATGCAGTACTACAATGAGCGGTCCTGCAAGTGCACCTGCGGAACCTCCACAATCCTGGGCTGAACAGGCCCGGGCGTGGACTTTTGCAAAACCCGTGTCGTGGAGTCTGGGCTTGGCGCGCACCTTGCTCGCATGACCGCATACCGGCCATATCTGACCGCCACCAAAACAAGTTGCTGCTGTATTCCATGTCACAGTGCAGCCACAAGCCCTAGGTTATGCACACGCACTTTTTCCCCGAATCCGACGAGGTCCGAGAAGTGGCAGATCAGATCAAAATTCCGAGGGACCCGGGGCAGGCATAGCTCAGACAGGTCCGAAGACCGGTCGGAAATACGCCACCCCTCCTCAGATTGATCAAACAAAGGGTTTCACAACCCCCAATCCGAATGACCCGGGATCCCGTGAGTGAGAAGGTCCCGCAGAGCCGTACAGGAACCAAGCACAGGTAATCGGCACCTGAGGCAACCGTACCTGGCATTCGTATCCTGTGTGCAAGCAGGGCCCAGAAAGGAGCCCTGAGCTATTGCTCCGATTTGAAAGCAAGGAGCTTGTCCAAGATCATCCAACTTGGAGACCATGAAAGGGAAACCTCCCTCCTATTTCCGGGGGAGAATCCTTCGAAATCAAAGTGAGTGAGCTGATCTGCCCACGTGTTAGAACTCCTCTTGACATGGGTGACCTGAGCAAAGACACCCTTGTGGAACTCCTGTGCGGAGAGCTCCATTAAAAGCGCCGAGCAAGGCCACTTCTTCGAAGATCTCTTGCTGGCAGAAAAGGCGTTGCCCTCATTGTCTGTAGTAAGAGGGAGATGAGCATCAATCATGCAGGGCCCCACGGACTCTGCAGCCAACAGGAAAAGGATGAGTGTGCCCAGGAGTTCCAGGGCACCAATTCGGCGCTTCGGAGAAGTGTGCGCCAGGAGGGGCTGCACCCATGGAGTGGTAAGGACGTCCATGGAGAACCACAGGACCTCCGCCTTGGTGGGGTTAAGCAAGGGCGAGAACCAGCCACCAATAGCCACCCGGCCATCGTCCTCACCGGCATCACTGCTCCCGTAGCATGGAGTGTTGTGCTGGAGACGAAGAGGAACGCAGGGGCCAGAGTCCAAGATGGAGATGAGCAGAGTTGCCAGAAAACGTACAAGGTCTCCCGGTCTGCATTTCCGTTCAAGTTTCTGCTCCCAAGCATAGAGTGGCTGGAGGTGTGAACTCACCTGAGGGTAAGCTTTCGCCACCCACTGCAACTTGCCCAGTAGGGAGGTGACTTCCTTTCTGGTGTGGAGTTCTCCTGCTTCCAACTTCAACAAGGCCGGGCGGAGGATGGCCAACTTTTCCTCCGGGAGCCACACCGAGCCTTCGGAGATGTTGACCATGTACCCAAGCCAACGGTTGACCTTCCCAAGGGCATTCTTGTGCCAAGAGATAGGGCAGCCCAGCAAAGTAAGGAAGAGCATGAGGGTGGCCGCCCCAATTTCTCCAAGGCTCTCTTTCATCACCGCCATGAAATCATCAACAAAAACCAGGAGCCAAAGGAAAACCTCCGAAATCTGGTAAGAGAGGCGGGTGAGGATGGCAGCCAATCGCCCCCAGTAGAGCTGCGCCGAAGCCACCCCATAGGTGCCGACCTTGTTGACCCAGAACTTCTTCTTGATCTTGGCCACCATGTACCGCCAGTGCTTCTTGAGAACCTTGATCCTCCGGTGGGCCTTGCTCACATCCGACTTGAAGAGGGTCAGGTCCTTCGACGCCAAGTGGAGCCAAGCGAAGAGCAAGTCGTAGAGAGTCGGGGCCGTGGTCTTCTTGTCAGTATTCGCCCTGATGTTGTCGTTGACGCCGATGATCGAGGCGTCGAAGATGGTCCTGATCTTGTCCAGTTCCTGGATGCCCGCCATGGCCCCGACACACAGCTCTGCGACCGAGCAGCCGCAGAGGTCCGCTGCCTCCTGTTCCGACAGGGGACCCGCCACCATGTCGAGGAGTTTTTCCTCCAGGAAAGTTTTCTCTATGGTGTCCTCGAAGACCTCAGCGCTGGGGTAGTTGTCGGCCGTAGTGGGCGCCGGGGGCTCCAAGTCTTTCGGTGCATTCCCCAGCTCCTGCTTGGACGGCCAGAAGTTAGGGTGCGGCCCCGTCGGACCGTCCACACCAAGGGGGACTCCTTCACGTAGGTGTTGGAGGAAATCCCGGTCCGGGTCCTCCGCCAGCTCCACCAAAGCTTGGAGAATGTCCAAAGCGAACGGTTGTCCAGGAGAGACCTCAGCTGAAACAGGTCGGTGGAGACGGGAAGAGAGGCGTGATGCCAGTTGTTGGCGGAGGTCTGCGACCCACTGGTCTGGCCAGGGGCAGCCCCGCGCCTGAGTCCTGAGCGATTCCCGAAAGGGCGTCATAGGAAAGACCACTGGGGAATCGGCACCTGTGGCAACCGTCCCCGAGGTGAGTGTCTCCTCGATCCACTGGCCAAGCCAGGCCAACTTGCATTTGCACCTGTCTTCCGGCTTGAGTCTCCCAGGGGATGGTTTACCGCCACCATCCCTGAGGGGGCGAGAACGGTGTCCCAGCCGGACAATTAAGGTACTAGCTGTCACCGGAGCCAGTGCCGAAGCAATGGAACGGTCTCCATCCGTGTCCCCGGATGTGGAGAAGAAGGCTAGCAAGGATGGCCAATTCCAAATTGAATTGCCAACCCCACCGGGCCAAGTCAGAACTGGACCACCACACCGGGTGGTCCGGATGCCTGCACCTGAGGCCATCCCAGTCAAGGGCCAGATTGCTAAGAACCGCCGTGGGTTTCCTGGCCCCGTGCCCCAGCATGCACTGGTCAAAGCAGTGTATCTTCATCCGTGTAAGGTCCGCGAAGTCTTTACACTGGGCCGTGGCCCACCATGAAGAACAATTCTGCTGAGCTTCCGAGGTACCTTGGTTGGCGGGATCCTCCGGGTGTTCCAGGAGGAAGGCAGGGGGCCGAGGGCCAGACGCCAACGAGAGGTGGTAGAGGAGCAACATCCTGAGCAAGAGCAGAGAGTCATTATCCGTATCCCTGAGCACCGACTCCGGAAGGTCATCGAGGCCCCAGGCTGATTGGCCTTTCCTGCCCCTAACTGGACCAGGACAGCCAGCTCTAGGAAAGTGTCGCAGAATTGACCAAGTCCTGCAATTGGGCCCTCCGATGATTGCCATGAGGTCGGCAGAGAGGGCCAGGGCACAAAGGTCAGAAAAGGTCTCCTCAGAAAGTACATCCTGGGAGATCCCACCTCTACAGATATCCAGTTCGCGGACTGAGGCCCCCAAGAGAGGAGCGACTTGTGCAATCGCCGCCTTAGTGCTCCGGGCATCATCCTTCCCAGCATAGAGAATGAGCACTGTAGGCTGGGACGGCTTGCCTGCAGAAGGCCAAGCAGCCAATCCAGGAAGGAGTCTATCCAAGAGTCTCTGTGGGAGGCCTCTGAAGCCCGGAAGAGTAGGAAGAGCATGGGACCAGCGGTCTCGATTCCAGCGGTCACCCTCGCCAGCCGCTACTTTTGGAGGGCTCTTCTCCAGGGGAGGCTGCGGGGCCGCATCCCCAGGGTCGATTGCCTCCGTGGTATCCCCCACTGGAGCAGCCCGAGGCATACTCTGGGAATTCCGAGGAAGTCGACCCGAGCACGTGGGGAATCGGCACCTGAGGCAATGGTCCCCACAGACGCCAGGCTGGAGCGAGGAAGTCCCGAGCTTGCCACCACGTTGTTAGCTGGGAGGAAAGAGATGGCCCCTCGCCCCTCTGCATCCCCCGGAGGGGAGGGGCCGGTTTCTCACGAATGGTCCGCCGCCCTGTGGTTCTTCTCGCAGATCTTACCGTCCGAGAGAATCACAGGGCAGTTGTGGGAGCGACCGCAGTCCCCCGGGCACCTGTTGAAGGCATGGTACTTCTTGCAGAACTCCTTGCCGTCCGATCCTTTGGGCGCCCACTCATGGTGCGGTGCCTTAGTGCGAGCGAAAGTAGCCGTCGGAGGAGGGGGAGGTTCCACCGTCTCCTCCGAGACAGTGGACCAACGCCAGTCTTCCTTCTTGGACTTGCCTTTTCCTTTTCCCGGCTTCTTGCCTTTGCCCTTCCAGTAATCCCACTGCTGGAAGACTTTTCCCTTGTCCTTGTCCTTGCCCTTGCCCCTGCCTTTCCTGGGGCCCTTGGGCTGGCCAGTGTGGTGGCGACGGAGGCAGAACTCATCGATTTCCATAGACCAGAATCGCGAGTTATTCTGGATCTCTTTGAGGGCAGCTGAGATGGTCAAGGTTTCGTCCTTGGCCATGTTCAGGGCCACCTGGCGCCAGACCTTTCTTTCAGCTGTCATTAACACCCCCAGTGAGGGGGCGGGCTCGCGGCCCATAATGGTATCTCCGAAGAGGAAGTTGTAGAAGTCGTCCAAGTCTGCCTTGGTGAGGTGAATGCACGAGGGGCCCGTGCATGTTGCCACAACCATGAGGAGGGACGTACGCCAGATCATGAGGACCCGTTTCCACTGTTTCTCCGACTGGACACGGTTGGATTCCTCATGGATCCACTCATCATCTTCTTTGCTTTGGCGCTTCTGGAACTTCACTTCCCCATCCTTGGGGTGGTTCGCTACGACCTTGTTGAGATCGAGCTGGGAGCCCGAAAGGAACTCTCCCCTGTACAACACCCTCTTCAAGACACCAAGCATGTGGTCCGAGCCTTCGTATTCCCTCTCCGGGTCCGTGCCGAACTTAGCGAGGTAAGCTGCCCTCATTTCTTGGCGGTCACCTCTGCCAATCATAGCTTTGTAGTCCTCGACCGAGTGGATATCCACCTCGGCCATCTTCCTTTTCTTTAAGAGCTTGAACTGTTCCACCGCGTTCTCCAGGCGGATAGCGGTGAGGACGCACGTGTGCTCATCATATCCGTTCTGGCCCGGTGAGAAGCCCAACTTGGGAGCCTCCTTCCGGAGTTCCTTTTCATCCCAGCGGCCTGCCCAGTCCTGGGCCGTGACGAAGCCCTGTTTTCCCATGACAAAGAGGACTAGCCAAGGGACCTGGACCAGACGAACATGCTCATCAATCTTCATGACCTCCTCCTTGTAGGGGTCCGGACACAGCTCCGGAGTTGGCGTCGACTTCCGCACCCGGTCTATCCATACTGCCCGGCGGCAGGAAGACCCGGCTTGAGCGAAAAGACTAGGAGAGGGCGGGAGGGCAAGAAAAAGAACAACCCGGGAAACCGGGAAACAGACCCCGCGTCACCGAGACTGTCGTGAGTCTGACCCAAAATGGCAGCCGGCCCGAGCAGGATGCAGAAGGGAGGCTGCTGGCTTGGCCCTATGACATGCGAGTTGATCAGTGCAAGCACGGATTCCTCTACAAGTCACAGTGCAGCCACAAGCCCTAGGTTATGCACACGCACTTTTTCCCCGAATCCGACGAGGTCCGAGAAGTGGCAGATCAGATCAAAATTCCGAGGGACCCGGGGCAGGCATAGCTCAGACAGGTCCGAAGACCGGCCGGAAATACGCCAAGTCCGCAGGGCTAATGCCTGCCAACTCCGAAGGGCCCGAGGACTTAACACGTGGTGACGGGCGTTCACAAAACCCTTGCCACCCCGGATTCTCCAAATCCCCTTCCACCAGGGGATCGGCACCTGTGGCAACCGCCCCTGTGGAATGGGGGTCTCCACAAGTCCTGGTGTCAATACCAGGTGGGAAAACAAAAGGGGCTCACAGCACAATCCAAAAAGGCACCGTAGAAGCGGATGAAGAGGCCGCCGGGCTAGCCCCCATTCTGGGAGTGGCTTCCCCATCGACAGACGAGGAGGAGTCCGATTCCAGAGAACTCGCCGAACCCGAGCCATCCGAGGGATCCGCGCTGGAGGAGTCCTTGGTCACCGCTTCACCCAGGAAACAGTCTGGGGGCTGCTTGGCCCGTGCCGCCTTCGCACAGAAGACATAGTCCGGTGTCCAGTCCAGCTCGTTGAAGGTGACCAAACTCTTGCAGTCCTTGGGCCGCCAACCACAACCCAGGCATCTGTAGCCCCTGTCAAACCAGTGTACCCGGTACACCGGAGGAGATCCTGTCTTACGGGCGTTGGTGGCCATGAAGGCAGGGCCATCAGCCCGCTTGTCCTCTTGCGGATCATTGGCCGAGGCAAGAACCGGGAGCTGTGCATCGGGGGGACCTGAAGTGGCTCTTCCGCCGATCCTCCGGAACAAAACGGATCCCTTCCTCTTTGCCAGGCTGGGGTTTCGACAGGACCTCTTTCCAGATGGAGAGGACCACCGAGCGATGTTCTCTCGTGTAAACGTCCGCCATGCTGTCCCCTTGCCAACGTCCCAAGTATCGTCGCTGTTCACGGGGGACACCCATCTGGAACGCCAGGTTCGGCATGAAGACCCTGAAAGAAGAAAGGGTCATCATCTTCACCTCCTCTTCCGGGATCTTCGCTCCCTTCATGGAGAGAAGAGCCCGAAGCCACCGCAGGGCCCGAGAATTGTCACATGGGGCCCTCGTAAAGTCAAGGCGGTCTCTGTCTGGGACCGGCAGCAGGTAATCATCTTCAAGCCCTTTTGTAGCCAGGCTGTTCCGCCTCTTACTGAGGGCGATCATGGGTCCCCACCACTCCGTCTGGGAGAAGGAGACCAGAGGCGCGATGAGAGGTTGGGGACGATTATTGTCCCCTACCTCCTTGACCTTAGTCTGCCAGGCGGTGAACTCGAGGGTGTCCTTAGTAATCTTCATGGAATCCGGCCTGGTGTGAGCTGTATCGGAGAACCTGGCCGAGGCGCCTATGCAGAACCTGAAGAAAGAAGCCGCGTAGCCGTCCGGCGAGCCTTCCGCAAGGGTCCCAGCCAGCTTCTCAAGCGCGATGACCACCTCCATGGGAGGCGGAGTGGCCCTCCTTTCCTTCTTGGCCTCCGAAGAGACCAAGAGACCCCTGGTGTACTCATAGCGCCGGTTGATCGCCTGGTTGACCGTGGGGTCAAAGCCTCCGAAGTGCTGTGGGATCCAGTGAAGTGTCCTCCACAGCTGCCCCAACCTGTAGATTGTGAACTGCTGGTCCACCGCTTCGTAGAGGAGGGCCTTTGCGGAGAATGGCAGGGGGGGAACACCCGAGCGTGGAGCGGAGCTTCTTGAGGCTGTAGAAGACCGACTTCAAGGAGTTAACCCTGGCTTTGCCAACCAAGGGCCTCCAGACCTCGTACTTGTCCTCCCCCGGCTTGATGTCCTGCATGTTATCAAAGTGCCTGTGGTAGGGAGCCAGGACGGAGATGATCTTGTCCGCCCACTTCTTCTTTGCCGCCCGATCAAGGGCAAGCTGTTTGACCGGACCTTCCATCCGAGAAGGCCTAGGTGCCCAGTGCTCCCAAGATCTTTTCCCGCTCCGGCGCTCCATTGGGAGGGCCCGTCCAAAGGCCCTGTCGGCAAGGAGTTGACCCACCGGAGAGAGAGATGTCCATGAAGGGCAGCCCGACGCGGCCAGCTGAAGCCTAGTGACCGCCTCCGTGAAGTTCGCCTCCAGCTTTTGACTCCTATCTTCGGGGAGTGATTGGAGCCAGGTAGCAACGTCACACTCCACCGGGTGCGGTCCCAGGCCCATGTCCTTCAGCACGACCTCCAGACCCGGGAGGGTCTGCTTGAGAGCATAGCTTCAGTGAGAATGACCAGCTCCCGGTGCCGCGTGTCCACGACCTGACCCTCATCCATCGGTGAGGCCCAAAGGCCCACTGGCACCGAGAAGCGAGAAACAAAATGGAGCCACAGAACAAAACAGCTGCGGGGCCCGGCCAGCAGGGTGAAAAGAGACCCTTGCAGCACTGACAGACATGCGCATGCAGATCACGAGCAGGCACTCTGCACAAGCGAGGACTCCAAAAGACCCCGAACAACCCAGCGGCAAAAGGGAAAGACCCCACCGAAGAAAACCCGAAAGACACCCCCAAGAGCAAGGCAAGTCCATTCCCCTTTTTGGGCAACCAGAAATCGGAGGCATCAAAGAAAGCGTCTGAGGCGCCTTCCCCGTCTGAACCTTCGATGTGCGGGTTCAGGGAAGGGAATCGGCACCTGAGGCAACCGTACCCCCCCCTCCCCCACGCATCGGGGCTACACTGGGGAGGCAGTGCCCCCAAATTTGCAAAAAGAAAGGCAGGAGCAACCAGAGTTAGCGACAGAGGCGCCTTCCCCTTCTGAGGCCCTCGATGGGTAGGTTCAGGGAAGGGAATCGGCACCTGAGGCAACCGTACCCCCCCCATCTCCCGAGCATCGAGGCTGTACTGGGGAGGTCATGCCCCCAAACTAGCTGAAAGAAAAGGATGTGGCACCCCCGTAGGCAGACGAGAGGGCGCCGACATCGATTAGCCACCGCTCCCAGGCTAGGAGGCCGCGGGCTTCATCTCCACATCCGCCTTAAGCTCTTCCTTGACCGCATCAGCCAAGACATCCAAAGATTGGAGAGCTTCCAAGGAGGGCTCCGAGAAGACCAGACGCCACAGCTGTGTGGAAGCGTCAGGGCCCAGACGGATGCGGAAGGGATTCTGCCCCGGCATCTTGTGTGGGGCCGCGTCAAGTAGCGGAGCCGTGCCCTCGAACTTCCGACAGAAGAGCATGCGCCCCTGGATCCACCTCTCGCGCTCTGCATGCGGTGGAGCCGTGACGATGGCCTGCAGGACCACATCGCCATCGAAAATCTCCAGGAGCCAGCCGTGCATCTCGTGGCCCTTGAGCCACTTGCCTTCCGCCGAGTCCCGGCCCCATTCGGTCCTGCAAAGGGTGCAGGCATAACGGTTCTTGGAACGCTTGCTCGACCCAACCCTGGTGTAGTCGAAGCCTGACAGGGCCGGGAGGACCATGCCACATTCCATGTGGATCCAATGCCTCCGGTTGGGCTTGTCCACGAAGTCCGGGGCCTTTACCCACGCCTCCAGTGCAGCGGTAGTACTGGAAGGCCACTGCCCACTTGTGCTTGCCCGATAAGAAGGCCTTGAGGTCAAGCGGGAGGGAATCGATGGGCAGCGTGACTCTGTGGTCGTACTCCGCCCGCAGCCGAAGCCTTTCTTTGGAGTCAACGACCGGGGCATCCGGGAGATCCTCGAGCCAGCTGGGGTTGTGCAGGAAGTTCATGCAGTGGACCTCGAAGCTCATGCGGCGGAGGATGATCGCGTAATCCTCCGGGCACTTCGGCTCTCCGAACCCCCTTGCCTCCATCCACGACTTAGCCTTCAGGCGCAGGTCAAGGAAGTCCTTGCGGCGGGCCGCCCGGTAATCGCCACGCTTGCGGAGGTTGGAGCGCACCAGGGGAAAACCCCTCTGAAACTTCTTCTGGCCCTCGTTCTTGGTTGGTCCCACCATGTTCCAGATGTCCTTGGCCGAGAGCACACTGCCAGGGTCACTGTCTGGAGGTTGAGCCGCCAATGGTGGGGCTCCCTGTCCACCTCCCCTTCCTCCACGGCTTGGAGAGAGCCACCATAGGGTTGAGGAGGTTCCCCACCATCTCCGGGATCTGAAGGCTGTATTGCGCCAATCCGTGCTTGGCGAAGATGGCGTTCACTGAGTGCATGGCCGATGTGAAGGCTTCGTGGCCGAGGTCCGTCCAGCCAGCGTACCATTCATCAGCCTCCACCTGGGTGACCGAACCCGGCTGCCTCACCCACCTCCACCCCGTGAGGTAGGTCTGTTTCTTACACATCTGCAACATGGCGTTCAGGGTCCGGACCTGGTCTTCCAGAGTCTCAGGGGCCTTGGTCCCTTTCAGCTCCGCGAACGGCTTGTCGAAGAGGGCCGGGTTGAAGAAGGAAGCCGCACGCTGAATGTCAGCCTGGTGCTTGAGGTCACCACCTACAATGTCCTCGGGAACATTCGGTATCGACTGTATGATCTTGTGGACCTCCACCACCTCGGACTGGATCCGGCCGAGAACATCTGGGTCCCTTTCCTGGAAACTTGAGAGTTCCCCCGTGACCCCTTCCGAATGGCGCTCCACCAGCTCGACCAGCTCCCTGCTCCAGAGGCTGGGCTGCTGGACAACCGGAGTGTAGACAAAATGGTCTTGAAGCTGCTCCGCGTTGCGCTTCTTGTTCTCCTCCCGCTTGGCTTTCTCTTCTTTGTCAAAGGTCATCTCTCGGGGCGCCAATGTCCTACGCATCGCCGCAAGAAGGCCCTGGCCCTGGTTGGTCCCTCTGAGGTTGGCCTCCAACGTGGCGGTAGAGACCTGAGCCATATTGGCGACCGCCCTTTTGCCAGGGAGGAGTGCTGTCTTAGCGACCTCTTCCGCCGCGTCCACGGTGCCCTCATAGCCGCCTGCTCCAACTGCTTGAGGTTTTCCATTGCGATGTCCCGGTCCGTGGGCGGCCGCTCCGGCTTCGGGGTCCACCCATCGGCACCTGAAGCAACCGGGGTGTCCCCCTCTGCCGTCGCCGGGACCGGTTCGACCCCAGGCCCAAAGCTGGCCTCCACTGACATGCCGTCGAGGTAGGAGATCACAAAGATGCCCCCCGCCGTCGCCTCCACCTTGGTAACATTCCAGGAGGTTCCCCTCAGCGTGAGCCTGAAGGACGCCCAGTGGGGAGGAGCAGTCCAGATGATCGAAAATGTTCTTGGCGACCTCCCCCCCCGGGACCACGTCCAGGAGCGTTGTGTTCTTCTGGTCCGGGGTCTCCATCAGCGTCCTGAGGTTGCAGATCGCCACGCCAAGCTTGGTCAGGACAGTCCTGACCGTGGGCACATCCGCATACTCCTTCAAGACGTGGGCCATCTCACCCTTCTGGACCACAAGGAGGAGCGGGAGTGCATCCCTCTCGCAACAGGTGAAGATATCCGCTCCTTGGTTCCTGAAAGCCGACGCAGCCGCCTCGTGGGAGGAGGCCCAGGCGACCAGCTTCGAGTGGCACTGGAGCACTGCCAGGGCAGCCCCCGCAGCCGCCCGGAGGACTCTTGTTCTCCAGGTTCACAGCCTCGGCAAAGGTAGCCGCCCCCTCGGCCTGTTGGGCCGCATCCTCAAGGGTGATGCGGGCGTTGGCCATGTCCGGGCTAAAGACCACGCCGACTTCATGAGGCTTCTGCTCCGGGCCATCCTGAGAATCAAACCGTGGGCAGTCTAAGTCCGAGGCAAAAAGCCTGATCCTCCATCTTCTGAGCCAGGTCCTCCGAAGAGTAGGCCACCTCCCCCCGGCCAGCGGCACCTGAGGCAACCGGACCGGGTGAGGAGGCTTCCCCCATCGGACCGGCAGCGTTGATGGCAGCGGAGAGAGCAGGGCCCGGCAACTTCCTTTCATATTCCGTCTGGGGCCTGCCGAACTTGTACTTGAAGTCCTCCCTGAAGCTGTTCGAGGTGTTCTGCCACGCACCCTCCACCAAGCGCCAGGAGGATCCATCCGGGGCCGGGGCCTCGATAGAAGCATTGGCTTCCCTGACAGGCAGAACCATCTTGTTGCAAAGAAAGCACCGAACCCTGAGGGCAGCAGCAAACCTACCCCCGCAGCCAGGGTCCGAGCAGATGTAAGGCAAGGGCGCGGTCGAGGCCCTGGGCACCGTAGCTGTGCCAAACCCTTGGCCCTGCTTCTTGAGGATTTCCTCTTGGCGGAGCGTAGCCACTCTGCTGCGGAGGTGGCCCCCGATGTTCAGGATCGCATCCTCGAAGAGCCCCGAGTCCTCAGACTCCACAGCGGCCACCATCTTCTCCACCACCAACTTCGGGAGGGAACGGAGGATGGTCGCGACGTCACTGCGGAAGAAGCGGTCGGGCATCACCTCCGGGGAGACCAGCCTGTATACCGCCTTGCTGGCGTCCACGCACTGGACCACCGCTCTGTCAGAGCCCAGCAGCTCGTCTTTCGTCAGGGACGGCAGGGAGAGGATGATCGTGCCGACATTCTTAAAAGGGAGCTTGTGCTTCATGTGCATCAAGCCGCTCACGAACTGACTCGGGTCCTGGTGGAACTCCTTAGAAGTGGCGTCCACATGAGAGAGGATCTTCACACGGTCCTCCCGTCTAAGGCAGTTCCATCTGGCCAAGACTGTGCTTGAAAGCTTTTGGCCTTTCACCATGCCCACCTCTTCCGGGACGGTGCAGTACCATCTGCACACTGCCTCCCACCATGGGTGGGACTTGCTAAACAAGTCCATGACCGAGAAAAACGGGAGCTCCTTCTGCAACATCACGACCCGATCTTCGATGTGCGGCAGGACCGTCTGAGGGTCTTTTGCCGCGTCAAGCTGCTCTTGCACCCAAGCCTGGAGAAGCTCGACGTCTTCATGTTCCACCCAGGCGTAGTCTCCCGAGGTGCTAGGCACCGTGATCGAAGGCGCCTTGTCCGCCAGGACCCAGGAGCCACTGGCCGAGTCGATAAAGCCCGGCTCTGAGAGAGCCACCTCAGGTTCAGCCGATGGCACCCCCTGAGAGGGAGGATCGGCACCTGAGGCAACCGCGCTCCCATCCCCAGGGGTGGGGTCCACCATGGCAAAGTCGCCATCAGCCGCCGAATCCGCCGGCTCCACCATCTCGACGTCCAAAGCTTCAGGTGACACCCCCTGGGAGGGACGATCGGCACCTGAGGCAACCGCGTCCACTGCCACAGGAGGCTTGCCCTCAGCAGAGGAGCCGCGGCTGGAGGTCAGCAAGCGGTTCCGTTTCGTCTCATCGTACATATCCAGGAAAAGCCGCTGGAGAATGGGGTGTCCCTTGAGGAGACCCAATGTGTCACAGGCTCGAAGCGTTTCTATGACACCGGCTCGCTTCACCGCGTCTTCCGTCTGCCTGGAGACCAGAGCGAGCAAAGCAATCACCTCTTCGAGCACCACACCATCTGCAGCACCTGCAGGGGCTGCTCTGGAAGGGATGGGGGCAGATGCTGCCTCAACACCATCCTGCTGAACCACAGGATCAGAGAACTCGTCAAGCTCGAAGAGACTCTGTTGTGCACGTTGTGCTGCCAGACTCTGTCGGATCTGGACTGGCACATCATCATGTGCGGCACGCGAGGGGTTCGACATGACCAGCAACAGAAAACAATCAGCAAGAAAAAGAACAACCCGGGAAACAGACCCCGCGTCACCGAGACCCGTCGTGAGTCTGACCCAAAATGGCAGCCGGCCCGAGCAGGATGCAGAAGGGAGGCTGCTGGCTTGGCCCTATGACATGCGAGTTGATCAGTGCAAGCACGGATTCCTCTACAAGTCCAGACGGCATATGTCGTAGCTACTCTACAGTTGAAGTTGCCGTCTCTTCAACAACCATTCGATACAGCCTCGAACTGTCATGCCCCAATCAATGGCCTAGCATCCTGTCATGCAGAGGAGTGTCCTTTCCCGGTACTCCATTTGAATCTTTGGGACCTCACGGACGACCTGGAAGGCGAAGGCTCTGGAGCGAAGCCTTACTCTGGTAGAAGAGCAGAGAATTCGCCTCGTGCACCTCCAGCTTCGGCACATGTCGGACCACTTCTTGGACCTGCACCTGAACGGATCTCCAGACACAAGCCACACGCACACATACCCAACCTTTTCAATACCTCTAGTGCGCAAACCCTAGCCCGCAATCTTCCAAGCTGTGCAAGTAACACTAACAACGACCCTGCAAGGTGGACATTCTGCCACGGCCTGTGGCACTTCTACAAACTTGTCCACCAGTGCAACCTTGCGGGAAGGACAGCATTGCACTCTCGGCACATGTCACCATGTGCCACTCATGTACACGAAATGAAGCCATAAGCCAAGCCCGTGGCTGTTGCTCTACTTCAAGTGTTCCGAAGCACCAGGTGGCTAACTACGGTCACCATGAGCATCATCAGCTCCACCGTGGCCGAGTGTTCACTACAGTGCAGATCCATCTGCCGTCATGCGGTTCCATCTGCTGGGCTGAAATATGGGCAGGGATTTACCCTGCTTCCGTGCTACATAGTGCTAAACTTTATAAGCATTTCACCAGGCTGAGGAATGCATTGATGTGCCCTGTCCACCAAAGCATTTCTGAATAGGAGTAGCAGCGTTTTTGGTCACTATAACGACAATGCTAACCACGTTAATTTTTCGGAAGTCCAACTCACCTTGACGACGGCCAGTAAAATCGATGTTGTAATCAAAAGGTGATTGCCAAATAACGAACAGGAGCTGACATATTTCCAAGCCACAACGAAAATAGAATCACCTCCATCGCCACTGCCACAGATATGGGCATGGCCATGACCACAAGTATCACCATCGACGTCAACACGCCCATCATCATCATCCTCAGATCCTGAAGTTGGGAATGCCGGGGCCTCGTCTTCCTCGGTTTTCATGGCGAGTTCGAGTAGTGGCGTGGGCTTTCACAGTCTGGGACGCTTTTTCGTGTTTCACGTGCCCTAAACCTCAAACCGGCAGCGGAGTACCCGAAGGTGATTTGCTGGTTCGTAGGCACGCAGGCTTCGTGGTCAAAGTGCGACGAATGGTCAAGCCATGAAAATAGATGTCACTCCACAGTTTCCCTAATGCTGTGATTCCAGGCACGATCGGACTACCGGCATTTACCAAGAGAATTTTCAGTGTCCTCAAGTTTCATTAACACGGTGGCCATTCGCAATCATGGGCCAGCAGAGCATAGGTACTCACAGGGTGGTGTCTACATGACGGAAGGAGCGGTCAAAGCCAGAGACATCCACAATGGCACCGGACAGCTAGTCAGTGCTCAGAGGGGCCTGAGGTACCTCCACCAGCTTCTCAACCGTTCGAACCTGCGACAGGATCTCATACAGTCATACAGCAAGAGTGGCACGACCAAAGACCACATACCAGCGTTGGATGGCGCCTCCACCTTTGGCACCTCGTGGATAACTTCCTGGACCTGCCATGGAACAGAGTGGCGGAAGTTGGCGAGAAGTGCATAAATCGCGAAAACCTCTGAACTCCAGAATCCCTACTCAAGCCATGCATCGTTCAGCGGCCGAAGAAAAGAAGCAGGCCTCCAGGCGAGGTACTGTTCGAACGACCTGACTGCAAGCAGACAAGATTCCGACATCGTCGGCGAGGCTCCAGTCACGAGCAGATTGAAATCACAAGATCGGCCTCTTGAATCTGGACTTGAGGCACTTCGACCACTCTCTCCACAGTGCAAACCTTTGGCACCTGCGCACTGCTGAGACAAGGTGCCGAAACCCGCAAGATCACAAAACATTGTGACACTACGTCGTTCCTACGTGTCAAGGAGTCAATTCCTAGGGGAACTTGATAGCCGCATGACCGCGACTGCACCTCCACGATCCGCTCCTGCACCTGTACCTGCCGAGTCTCCCAAATCAGGAACATCTGACTGGAACCACGAGCTGAGATTCGGCAACCTATCGGTCTCCCGTTCTCCTGCCTGAACTTTCGGTACAGTCTTTACCTCGACTGCAACGGCTGCAACATGCCACCTCTGCCACTAGAAGTCACGGAGGTAAAATGCAGAGGTATGTATATGAGGAGCTCAGGCCAAGGCAACTTCCTGAATCTCGATCTTCGGGACAGTTCTGACCTTGACCGTGCCACGAATGTACATCGAAGAAAGTCTTTGAATAGCAGGCAGCGCTCGAAGGGAATGACAATCATATTATGAACTTGAAAGAAATAAGGCAAGAACCACCTCTTGAGTGTGCACTTCCGGCACCTCTACAATCTTCTCCACGTAGCGGACCTGGTGATTACAGCATTTCTCATGCCTGCAACGCTGCGCTCCTAGGATTCCCAGCCTCTGGAACTTCTACCACTCGCTCCGAAACCTGGCACGTGAATGCAGGAAGGGACCCCTTTCATTCGGACTAGCATTTCTTCGCCCTGGCTGGGGTGCCTGGTACTCTATCTTTGGCACCTCTTTGATGATTTCATGCACCTGGCAGCGGCTCGCCAGGGCAGTTTCGAACAAGCCGTGTGCCGCTAAGAGCCTCGAGCTTCGGCACAGCTCTGACGACCTCCTGCGTGCAAACAGTCGGCACCTGACAATGAGATGTCTGAGCAGAGAGATCAGAAGGACCAACTTAAAGCGGTTTGATACATGCGAAATCCAGCAACCATGGAGTGTCGAGCATGACACCAAGAACAACCGAAAATATGAGGCTCCACATGCAGAAGAGGCCATACGAATACGAAAGAAACCTCGCCCCACCCTGAACATAAGAAGAAGCAGTTTTGGAGGGGTTGTTATTCATTCGACCGTGTGACTTTGTCAACTGGCATTTGCTACGCAGGCCTCCTCCGTGTATGAGAACTTTCTGTGTCGTTGTTTACCCGCAGAGGTTGCTGTATGTGCGTGAGGTCATGTGCAGTATGTGGTTCGTTTGCATTCTAGCGTGCATCCTTTCATGTACACTTTAAAGCAAGCATAGACATGGACTCAGTTGTATGTACGTGCGAGTTGTTGTGTTGCCAGCATTGCTTATGATCGATGGTACAATGAATTTGCGCAGGCAGGTCTTTTTATATGCTTGTCTCTGTCAGTCTCTGCCAGTCTCTGTCTGTAATTGCAAGGAGCCCTACACCAAATCCCTAATGTAAACCCTACCTCATGTAGGTCTGTGTTCCACTCATGGTGCGTATGTATGTACACATCAAGGCCCGACACTTTGTTTACAGACATGCACTTGTAACATGTGCAGATACACGTGTATGTATGTATACATACATACATACGTACAGACAGACAGACAGACAGACAGACAGACAGACAGACCGACAGACAGACAGACAGACAGACAGACAGACATATATACATTTGCACACACACAGGCAAACACACCTACACGAAGCAAAACACTAGTATCTCTCTTTGTCCGTTTCCTCATAGATATGTACACTGCACAGGCCTCAACGAGACGCTCCTTCACAATGGTTTGCGGCACTTCGATGAGGATGTCGGCCTGAATGTGGCGGTGTGCATGTCATGCGCGCATGTGCATGCACGACCTATGTGTGCGGCTCACACTGGAAACTTGGTCGAAAACTGCTCCAAACAGGAGCCGCTTCTTCTTTCAGGCCCAGACTTTTTGTTCAGCTACATTCGACAGCACTTCTGCAAGATGCTTCTTCAGACATGAGAGACGTTGTCCAGCTGCCAGGAGGGAAGTCGACAGTTTGACTGAAGAGACGGACATAAACCGTGCAAAATTCTCCTGGATGTCTCTGATTCTGGGCAATCCACCTGCATGGTGTCCCCCGCTCGAGACCTCACAAGGAAAACAGCACAGCAGTTGCAAAGGGATGCATTGCAAGGCATTCGGCTACCAATTCGTAGAAACAGACAGCTTCTGGTAAGGAGCCAAGCGGCCCCATCGTCGACACAGGGGTCTGCAGTTGAGTCGCTTGACCTGGCAGAGACTGCTTGCTCGCTACTCATTTGCGATCACGTGAAGACAAGATGCCAATGAGACACATCGCAACAGCCCCTGCCTGGTGATGAATACAAACCCGACATTGTCGACGTGGCCAAGGCGTCCTCAATGCGTCGAAATGCAGTATCCGCCCGTTGGCGCCGCTTTCGGATTGGCTTAGCATCATGACGTCTCGGCTGGGATTGTTGATTGAGCCGTGGGAGGTGAACCCTAGGTCAGGGTGCAGCAGGATTGTGGTTTCTCACGTTCGATGGCATAGTTTTACCCTTTTCGAGCTGAGCGAGCCAGCCTGACCCAAGCGCACCCCACGTGGAGTCCTCCTGGCCTTCTCTTTACAAACAAAGACGATTGCCTTTATTTCGTATGTATCCTGGCATCAACTCTTGTCTTGGAATGGCATTCTGAGCTCTCTCTGGGATGAGGAGTGGTTCAGAAGGCCACGCTGACCGAGCACAAGTAGAATATAGTAGAATGTTGCCTTGGTGAAGTGCAGATCAATCCCACGGGCCTGCGCAGAGGCGTTCCAGCTTTGCAGAATGTCGTTTGGGCTTTGGTACCTGAGATCTCTCTCGCTCTTTCAAGCCGCGTCCTCCACAGGACTACATCACAGAAGTGCTTGCTGGCTCTACTCTGTCTCAGCACCCATGTGACAGCAAGCTCCGCACGACCCGTGGTAGCCAGCGTAGCTGCTCCCTGCAACATGGCACAAGGAAATCGAACGAGGAGCATCCGCGGGTTGCAAACTGAATGCAGCAATCCTTGGAAGCTTGTTCTGTGCAAAAAGTCCTGGGCAGCACCGAAACGACAAGAGCAGTCTCGAGGATCGAAATCATGAGTGTACGATCCGTGCGATTTGTAAGACCGTGGTCATTCTTTACCTTTAGCATTTCCTGCATCTCGGGTCGAAGGAGCCAGCTGTAGAACGGCGTTTTTGCAGCCGGGGCGATACTGCGCCAACGAGAGATGACGAATCCGGAGTCCTGGCTCAGCACACCTGTAACAGTTGTCAAAGGGAGCGCAACAGCCTGGGTTTCGGCCTGGCGTGTTGTTCGCCTTTGTTGGCTGTGGCTTTGCAGGGGTGCTGCTGAAGATCGATCGGCGACTGGCACGACACGATCGAGAAAGCCTGGGTTCACCTTGCTCTGGAGGAGTCAGGACTGATCACTTTGTGCCGATTGTCGCGGGCACGGAGTGCTGGACAGCTGTCGTTCTGGAATCTCGAAAGCGGCAAGCGGCAGCGATGGTATTGCTTCACATTGCAGGCTAGTGGGGGGCGCGCGGGGGGTGGTTCCCAAGACAACACATGCGCACTTCGATTCGCAACGTGTGGGTTCTATTTATGGCCTACAGTAGCATCCAGCATGCTTTACGATTCTCATGTCGGCCTTCAGCACTGCTATTGCCGCTTTGACACTGCAACAACATGTGTATGTGGGTGATGTATTTCTGCATTTGTAGCTCTTTGCTGCGATTCGGTGCTATCTACTGTTCCTCGCTACTCTAAATAAGACACAACATGGCATCATTGTGGTAAGTGTAGGCATAGCTGTTCTAGAGTATCGTGTGGTCCAGACGCTTACAAAGTACTGGATCAAATTGTAGTCTCCAAAAAAAAGACTTCCGCAGAAAACCACCAGATAGTATCGTACAGTGATCGAACTTACTATCTACGGATATGTACAGTAGATAGCTACAACCAAACTGCGTACAACTGTCCATTAAAGCATGTTCTCTTTGCGTGAGCGAATTACCGATGTTGGGAAGCTCGCCGCTTGTTTGAACGCGCAGTCTCCGTGTCGCTCCATTCGCCCATGTTGCACAGTCCTTGCCGCTCTGCTTCATGCGTTTCGTTCTGCTCGTGCCACCGTCCAATCAGCGTCACAGTTTTCCGAGAGGCCACATGCCTTTCTGTCTGCCTTGCAAGGCATGCTTCTTCGTTGCCAGAAACAGTTATGTTCCTTCGCATGCTTGTGTGTATTTTTCCTGAGAAGTTGACCTTTTGATTTGTTAGATTGGTGCTGGCACGCTTCCCGAACTTGTGGATTTAATCCTTTTCCTGTTGCCTTCCGGTCGGATTCCTTCTATGCGTCTCTCTGCTGGTATTTTCAACTTCGCCATGCCAACTTCCAGCGAACAAGCAAGCGTTGCTCAGACCTCGTCCATTTAAGCCTGTTTACCAGCCTTAGGCTTGAGATTCCGTGCTGTCTGACAAGCCAAGTCTCTCCGAAAAGTGCCAGAGAGCTCAGAAGAGTGCCTTCACGGAAGGGTCCTCTTAGTTCGTGAAACAAAACTTCACTGAGCCCTGATGTCCGGGAGCCGAGCCTGCCGGGCTGTGACCAAGCAGTGGCATCACTGGATCTTCCCTGCGCCACAGGGGAGTCCGGGGCAGCACACTCCATTGCGGTCCATACCCAAGGCTAGGCCAAGCGGGCGGCCCGCAAGTCATCGAACTTTGTCATCTTGCAAGCAGCTGTGTCCGTGCGTCGCCTTCCAACCATAGGCTCCAGGGCCGCTGTGGAAGGCAGCGATGCCTCAAAGTTCCACTGCTGTTTGCAGAGCGAAAGTATGGAAACTGAAGACAACGGAACAGTGCAGCTGATAGCTGTGCAGATGTGTGGTGCATCTGCTTCTTGGCTGCCCGCGCACAGCTGCTGGGCAAAACAGACGAGAGGAAATCAGGGAGCTGCGCTACAGCGCCGTCACAGCGCTGGAATAGCAGGCTGCTTCAGAGGTGTCTTTGACTCCCTTTCGTTGTGTTACAAATATTTGGAGCCATGAAACTTGGACTTGGTCCAAGCATGACTTTCCCTGAGCACGGCCAGAAGCAGCTATTTCTCGGAGAGTTCGTGCCGGAAGCTGGTTCTGGCGGCTCACATTCTGTGCAGATGTAAGAATGCGGTACAGATGCAGTCAGCTCGAATACCAACGCTGTAACACTCTTTCTCTAATCTGCAACCCTACACTGACTTACACCCTGAGTGTTACGAATGCCGGTGATCCCCTTTCAGCTTTGGTAAGGACTCAGAAAAACAAGCATGTAGCCTGCTAACAGGGCTCTCGGCTGCGCTGTTGCGGCAGAGCTGAAAGCCGCGCTTCTTGGGACCAATGCCCTAGGTTTCCACACCTTCGAGTTGTGCGAACCTGAATTAGCTTTCTCGTTGGAGCTACTCAGCTCGGGAGGATATCCTCGGAGTCCCCAACACAAAGAGGTGGTTTCAGTTGCAGGGTGCATTGGCCAAGGCTGAGGGCTGGACTCTCGCGGCTCTCAGCCGTCGGCAAGGGCGGTGTGGGCGGGTGTGCCTGGAAGCACCATGTTGGTCCTTGGCATTGCGGGGTGCAGAGGGCAAAGGTGGCACGTCATGCGTTGTTTGCCAAGGGTCGACAGATCCGGCAGCGTCTTCCCGAAGGTCACATGGCGAGGCTTTGGGGAGCTCGGTGCCGACGGCCCGGGAACCTCTGGCACAGGCTGCCTCGGAATGCGAAATGTGCAGGTCTCTTGCTGGACCTCTTGGCAGCCGTGAGAAGGTGGCTTGTCACTCATCATCGTGTCCCGAGAGTGCACGAAGAGGACTCCCGAACACCCGGAACCCAAATTCACAGTCCTTGAGCCCCTTGCTCTTTTTATGTAGCATTTGAGAAAGCCCGCAGGGAGAAGCCCAGCGCTTTCGAAGCGGGTGAAGCCCACAGCCTCTCGTGCAGCCCAGGCACCAAGACTTGCACTTTTCCAGCACTCCTCGTGTGGTCCCGACACAGCGGATAAGTCTGATCAGAATGCGCTATGTGTGCTTCTATGGAGGAGCTGAGCTGGATGGAGAAGTGGCTTGCAGCAGGCCCACATGTACATCTAGAGATTGCATGGAAGCATCTGGAAAGCGCCTGTCTCTCTTGGGTGTGCCATTCTCTGAGGCTTGGAAACAGAGCTATTGGCATCCAAATGTTGCAGGCCTGTGGTGCTGGTGGTTCTTCGCACTAACAACTGCAGAGGCCCACCTTGATCCTGCCGGCTTGGTCGCAGAGTTCTGCCTCGGGTATGATTTTTGCGGAACCGTTAGCTGGCTGCACTCCTTTTCGCTGTTTCGGCACAGACTGTCTGCTTTGCCACAGAGCCACGTGTCTTCATAGTCTTCAAGCGCTGCAGTGGCTTCTGATTTTGTGTTGCTCGGGAGTGCTTTCGGGCACGGCGCCTTAGCTGCACGAAGTCGACCCGAGCATGGTGTGCTGATATCCCGAACACTCGCTTCGGATATCCACTGCATTACCACGTGAGCCAAGAACTGTGGTTTACATCAATCTTGTTAGTTTATGTCGGGACAGTCCTCATGGTTACATGCTAGCATGGCCGAGACATGTGTTGAGGTCTCCCTGATTTCATGCTGGTGGTTGCCCCCTAGCAGTCGGCCAAGCTCTTCCGTTTGCCTTGGCCAGGTAGGATCTTGGGTTTAGTCATCACATGTCATCACCAGAAGTGGTTCCCTTCATTCAACACGGGGTCCATAGCAATCCTGAACCCCGAGCCAGCTGAAACATGGGACCATCCTGGGTGCTACGCAAACAAACAACTTGGGGGATCCCAGAAAACGGACCCCTGTAAAGATCCGCAGCTCGGCACCCATGGCAGCATTATGATAATCAGTTGGTGATTACGGTTAGCATTTGGCATCACTGTATGTACTGCGACTATCCGCGTCTGTTCTCTGCAAAGGCACAAGGCAGCAAAGAAGTCGCTCAAATCGTTGGAGTACAAGGCGACCTGTTGGCACTTCACGGCTTTCAAGGGGCGACGACTTAGGGGTATAGAGTTCAGGCTAAGCTACACAACTCCTTGTCTGCAACCTGTGGTATTCAGCCACTGTTGCAACGAGTGTTGCATGTGCTTCACCCATGCCTCGGCTTGATATGAAAGACGGAACCTGGTAGTAGTCTGAGTTACACCGTTGTGATCATACATAGAAGAATCTTCATAAGCTTGACTATGACGAGGATGACGGTGGTGATGGTGATGGCGATGCTGATGACTATTCGCAGTGTCCTTACCCTAGTAGTGTGACTCTGCTTACGCTTCCGTTGGTGTCGGTGATGACGGCTGCAGACTTTCTATCCCTTCATTTTCGCATCTGTACTGAAGTGTCCGAAAGTGCGTCTGTCTGAGCACCCCGCTGTCACCAGGAGCGTTGCAGAGTTCATCAGAATCTGGTACACGACTTGGTCGTGAAACAAGGTGTAGTCGAACCTGGCAACCACAGGGGCTTCCTGTTCTTGCATCTTCCGAGCGACCCGACGGTCCGACGACGGACACTTGCAGCAAGTGCCCTTGAACTAGCAGCTCAACATCCCTAGCGAAGAAAGGTGTGGTAGGCCGGTAGGCATTAATACGCAGAGCAGGATGCAACATCGAGAAGGAGGCACAAGTCACAAGGAAACCACGGAAGAACACCAAAGAAATCATAGAGAACTCTGGACACTGGAGCAAACAAAGTGAACCTGAGAATGAAGGCAATGACAGTACATGGGGGCACAGCTTTAGGGCGCGTTCCTGATACCTCTACTTTCACGTGGGCCTCGATGCTTCGGCGTTTGTAACTGCATCGGAGCTCCGTGCACTCGCAGTGTGCAGAGACAATTTAAAAGCAAAAGGTCTCCAAATTCAAAATCCGGGAGATTCCAGGGCAAGTCCTGGGTTTGCGTAAAGGTACAGGATGGGTTCGGGCCCCCGGCAAAAGGGATCATTCGTAGTCCTGCTAACAGCATCATTACCAACAATACTGTTGATTTCGACAAGCTCACTTGAGTCCGTCTGGTAAACAATCGAGCAGATATGAAGCAAATGCAAGCCGAGCAACAGAAACAACCAGAAGAAGGTAATGCCAGTCAGAACGCCCATTGCCAGAAGCATGACCTTCCGTTGCAATTCCAGTCAACATGTTCACAGTGGTCCGACACGAAGCTGGCAGCGACCATAAGGACAGCACATTACGACCCAATGTTGCGCACTGCGACAACAAATCAACTAATCAATCACCTGTACAAGGACAGTTCATGTCCAAGCGTCTGAAAGCCTTCCAGCCAAAGGATTCCTGCGGATGCAAGGTTTTCGCATGCCAGGTTATGGCACTGTGGCAAGCATGTTCGAAAGCTCATCGGGAGCTGCTGGAAACGTGCATTATTATCCATTGCAGCCCCGCCTGATTCGGATCAGGTAATCTGCAAGTATCGTCAAGTCAAGTGCCAGTCGGACAAGACTGGGAAAGAAGCCAAGAACAACCTGAAAGCATCAGCGGCATTCAGAAACTGCAGCAGGGACTTGCAACAGGCTTCGATGCAGCGGGTCCGTACCCCTTCGCACAGTGGAACTGCTACATTCAGATTGATTTCGCATTACTCGTACGGCGTGGCTGAAGGGCGTGATAAGCCCCAACGAAAACTGTCATCTCAACTGCAAGCCCTGTACCAACAATCAGGCAGGCCACGGCAAAGTAGTGTGCACTCAGACGCGTAAGCTGTCCGGGCTGCAATGTAGTCAACATATGAAGCCCTCAGCTCGACAGCACTGCACTCCAACAAGCGACACCATTTCACTATCGCTCGAACAAGGCGGAACATTTCCCAACCGAGACCCTGAAAGCCCCAAAATGCAGCGTCAACTACCTGCATGGACCCACTTTAGCGGCCTCCACACTTGCCGACCAGCTGCTGTCGCAAATATAGAAAAATGCCGGCAATGTTGTGGCCACTGCAACACCATAACCTTCAGGCTACAACATCGCAAGATGATAGCGTGGCGATTCTGAGGCTAGCCCCCAGTATAAATGAAGCAAAAAGACAGCCCCTCAACACCTTGACCCGTACTACGGCGTGTCAGGCCAAAACTTCGCAAGTCTGCAGTTTCAGACAGTGCCCCTGAACGTCGTGACAGATGCCTTCAAAAACCTCTCTTCATCTCTCCTGACATCCCCCATCACTCAGCCCCAAACGCCACCGACAATAGCTGTGTAGCTGTCCCAGGTGGTCTAATGGTGGTACTTCAAGAACGAAAGAGAGAGGGGTAGAGGAAAACAACAAGAAAATGCTCCTGTTGGCGCCTCGAGTGTGGGTATTACAAGGTCGGGCTACTGTCGCACACAATATTGCGCTGCCCGAGCCACTGCGACATGCACTGCAATGCAAACAGTCGTTCCATAACTTTAGTTCTCGAAATCAGACACAGACCGCACGGTAGCTAAGGTGAGCTCAGAGAATTTGCCACAAAAACGAATGTGCTGTGACACTGGCCAACGATGGCTAGCGATGCGACTCAATGCAGATTATGCGTCTACAGCCATCACACCGCATGTCGACGACAAGGCATCCTTCTTCGCTACAAAGTGGTAGTCCACAACCGGCCGCATGACTCATGACTTACACCCTTGTCAATTTGACACATGCAAAGGCCGAGATAAAAGTTTGCACGAAAAATGCTATTGGCAAACACAGGGTGATTGAGGAAGTGCTTTCCATACATGTCCCCTGCCCTAAAGCCGCAGGCTGCTTGACTTTCTGGCCGCTGTGCACATGTGGATCGGGGTGCAAGACATGCCTACTCGGCAAAAAGAGTTGTGTCGATTCAAGTTGGCTAGCACGGTGCCGTGCAAATGCTGAAATGCCAGGCCAGTAGCTCACACGCGAGCCACCAACTTTCTTCAGGATGTAGTGGCCTTGAGTCAATCTGAGGCAGAAGGATGGCAAATCTCACAGGAGAGCTTTCTGTAGCGGTACCCTCATGAGCGAGCATCTGTGAACGGCTTGGCGACTCGGACAAAACTGGCAGACCCATGACAACCTCCCGCGTTCGCGACTATTGCTTCGCTCCTAGGGGTGTACAGAACCAGGCTCCCGGCCGAACACCTCTTGCACATATCCTTGGATATGCCGGCTGACTGTTTCCAAGTCGCATCAACTCTGCCAGTTGCAAAAGCAGAGCCACATTACAGCCTTGAGCATGCGGCTGGCTCCGGCTGCAAGTAAGCATTGGAGGCATGCGTCATGGATGCAGCATGATCGAGCAATCTCTTGAGTGTTCATATGTGGTGCGTGGTGGTTTGGCGAATGACGTCTGATGTCTGCCTGTGATGACATTACCCTCAGACGCGTCGGTGACGAGAGACCCGTGGGTCTCAGTTAAGGGACTTTGCTTTACGACCTCGGGGCTGCAGAAGCTGGCAGCATTCGCTACGTTACATCTTTTGAAGAGCCGGCTAAACGAGTACCGTCAAGGCACCGTGTCTGTTTCAATGCTATCGCACAACAGAGGATGTCGCGAAACAGTCCCTGAAACCAAGCCCGAAAACCTAATGACAAACGAGCAGCTGTCGAAGAGCTCTTGTGCCGACTCTCCAGAAGTTGCTTTTGTACCCGATTTCGCCAATGCCATGTATAGCCTCCCCAAGTGCCACGGCATAACGGCTTGACCGTACACGGTGGTTCCCTCTCGGATCTGGAATTGTGGAAAGGAGAGCTTCTCTGTCTTTCAGCAAAATTGGAGAGAGCTTTCTTTTCTGTCTCTCGGTACGAAAGAAGATACGTTCTCTGAGTCTCAGCCAATTGAGACAGCCGACGATCTTTATCTCTGAATGCGAAATCACACCAGAAGACACGAAAAGCCTCTCTACCCCGTGGCAGCTCAAGAACTCATCTTTGGTTGCCCCATCTCTGAAGCAGAACTTCAGCGTGGACAGCCACGGCGGTTCAAAATCCCTCTCTGATAACAAACTAAAGGCTCTTCTCCAGTCAGAGGCAACCAGCCTCTCTGCGCCCTCACCAGAAACAGGAACGCCCTGCTATCGTTCGGTAAAGGGTCATGGCCTCCCTCCTTTATCTGACGAATGCATGCTGTCGTTTGATGTTAAGTCAATGTGATACTTTATCAGTCCTAGTGCGTGTGATGTGCTCATATGCGCTATATGCTGTTGAAGACCCGAAAACCCGCTTCATGCGAGTAGGTGGCTGTAGGCTCTGGTTTCACTTCATGAAGCACTCTGGAGCTCGCTACTACTTCTGACGGAAGTACAGAGGAGAACAGCATGCATGTCTACACACAGTGGAGTAAATACACACAGATACAGCTTTTGTTGCTCAACGAAAACACAAACCAAAAACAGCAACTGGTTTCGTGAAGGCGACAGACCAAAGAAAAAAACAGAACAACAAACCCTAGGAATCCGAAAGAAAAAACACAATTTTGGGGGCCCCACAAGGTGAGTCAAGGTGATTTGGACGTTGGCTTCCGTCGTCATATGCTTTCTTGACGTGTTTCCTGCTGCACATGAAGATTCGCGCAGGAATAAGTGTGCACGACTTGGGTGATATGGTCCCCTTAATCGTGCCTTGCTCTTGATAATATACGTGGTAAGATCAGAGCGGCAGCACATGTGCATGAGAGTACAAAGAGAGATGTTCTTTGCGACACTTGCAGTGGAAAAGAGACCGAGGTTCGTCATGGAGGTTTGTATATATATATATATATATATGTATGTATACACATGTAACGATCAAGAAAGCTCGAAGTTCTCTTTCCAAGCGGGCCTTTTGATTCACTTGACAAGCAATGAAAGCACTCTGCTGTCTCTGAATGAAATTTGAGTGCTCTTCCGTCTCTTGAATACAGGCAAGAAAGCTCTCGAAATGCTGAAACGGCCTACCAGAGGCTGGCGACTTCCTGTGTCTCTCTACAAGACATCATGCACCTAACCTAATAGAGTGCGAGCATTCTGGATGAGCAAAACCAAGCGATGCTCGCGGTCCGAGGAACTCCTTGGCCATGCCCTGCCGAATGATGCCCGAGGATTGTGGCCCGAACCATTCTTCCAGCTTGTTGCCTGAAGAAAGAATTGCTGCAGCACTCAGCACAGAAAGCACCGCTGCCCAGGACACAAAAGCTGAAGTGGCAGAGGTAATTCCTGCGAACCCTCGGCCTCGGCCAGGAACCACTCAAGGCACTTTTGAATTCAACCGAAAGCGGATATCCGCTCTTCTGAACTGGCCAGGGGGCCAATGATCTGACGGTCACATGGGATGCGCGTAGTGGTGCCAGGTATGACATGGCCCACTTGGCAGCAGTAGCACTCTGCACTCCTGAGGCTGAGGCGGACTAAGGTACTTGCCAAACAGCTGGCAGAGTTGTCTGCACCTTCTACCAGCTGCAGCTGGGATTCGTGAAGCTGAAGGATTCAATCTGGACTTTCATGACGCGAAGATCGCACACCTGCATCTCACACAAGAAAACGAACATAAATTGAAACTTGAATGGCGTGTGAATGTCTGCCGGCTCTGTGCCACGAGTGCTCTTTAGCGCAGAGACAACAGCACCAACTCAGACCTACGGTTTGCCACAACTTTGCACAACCATGCACAACCTAAGTTGAGTGTGTTTCCCGCAGCTGAATATTGAAGTAGAAACCATCGTAGCTCAAGCCACGCTGCAATGAACTTCTGCAGCAAGTCACCAAGTTGCGAACAGCGTACAATGGTGCCAGCATGATTGCTGCTGTCACCTTCAAGTGCCAAAACACACAAGCTTTGTGGCTCAGGCAGGTATCATCAGGTACCGTCTACAAAGACACGATGCGAATGGAAAACCAAGGTGAGTGACAATGGGATCACAGCCGTGGCTGCGCTGAAAAGGTATTAACAGAGGCAGGCTCAGACAGGTCACGGATCCCACGACAGTGGCGTAGATCTCCCAGCTTTCTACTTGTGCAAGCCCCGCCAGCATCACCTCTCCAGGGGGAACTGCCAGGCTTCTGGTGCATTCACTACAACTTCCTATATTGACCCGAGTAGCACTGATCACGGCACAATGAATAAGCCCGACTGCCGAGTCGTCTGGCTCTTCTCTCTGCCCTCACCTCCCTAAGCGAGGATAACGAGTCCTAGGCATCACGAGAATTGCCATCGAAAGGCCATGACGACAAAGACGCCAACCAGCACCAGCACCATGAACACTCCTGTGCCGTTATGCCAAGGCTAGCTATGACATTGAGCACAGATGAAGGCTGTACACAGCGCATCAGTAGGGATTGCACAGTACTTTTTTCGAACGGCTGACCAACTGCCGCCTTGCACAGATCAACCGGAAGCTGTCTTCGTACGACCGGATGCCCAAAGCGTCCTTGTGCAACTGGAGCGATAATGAGTTGCCTCAAAGACCTGAGCTCGACGTAGTCTCAACTTAAACATATCTCCATGGTACCTCAGCTCCATGCTTTCGCAACTTCGTCCACGTGGCAATTTCCTGAGCAGGAATGTGGGATGCCCCGGCGTGACACTTGAAAATGTGGGCGAAATCACCGCATGTGTATGTATATATATATATATATATATACATAGGGTTTCGGAACAAGCTTCAGCAAGGCCTGAAGCTATTGCCGGCTGACCCCAGTGCCGACAGGTAGGCACGTGCGGCGCTCGACGCCATAGGTCTGCATCGACCCCAGCGGTCGCCGACTTGGCATCGACGAGCCAGAGCTGCCAGGTCCAAAGCAAGGCGGACCATCCATCGCTGCCGAAGGGAGCAGTGTACACCGCCTGCAAGACTACTGGCACTCCTCAGTGCCCATCATTCCAGGCCTCGCTATCGTGAGCTGCAGATGGGCAGAGGAAAAGAGCCATGGACGGCTTGGCAGGATGGATCCGACTATGGCGGCTGGTCCTCTGCGTCATGGCACAAATACTATGGCAAGGGCAAGGACAATGGATATGGCGGTTCAGTGAGCAAGGGCAAAGACAAGGGCAAACATGGTGCCAGGAACCCGAAGGAGGCGGCCAAAGCACCCGACTTTCCCTCCTACGATGCCATGCCTGTGGGTCATGCGGAAGATGGCCCAGGGGACCGTCGTTCACAGGGAGGAACCAAAGAGTTGGGCAAGCCCATCGACCTGGTCAAAGACGCCCAAAAGCTGGTGAACAACCTTCGAAGGGCGGAGGCCAAAGTCAGGCGTGGGGAAGAGGACCTGGCTATGATCTCCGAACAATGGGAGGTTTTCCAGAAGAAGTTCAAGCAGAACTTCCTCAAAGAGAGAGCCAAATACTTGGCCGCGGTGGAGAAAAACAAGGCCGAGCAGGAGCAGAACCTCCAGGCCCAGGAGGAGGCTCTCGTGGACCTCCAGGCGGTGATTGCAGGCGGCCACGCAAAGGACACGACCAAGGAGACAGTCCCGACTGCGGAGGAGGAGCAGGCCTGGAGCGACCTCTTCAGCGAGGAGCCGGCGGACGACGAGATGGGCTTGGACATGCTCAACGGTGCATTGACTGGGAAGGGGGAGGCCCGGAAAGTGGCCCGACAGCAAATGTTGAAAACCATCGAGGCCAAGAGGGCGGCTCTGCGGAACGAACCTGCCACCCCCACGAGAAGGCGAAGACCTGCTGCGGCTTTCACCCCGCCCTCGGTGACCCAGGCAGATGGTGGTTTGGCCAAGCCGACAAAGGGCGATGGCAGCACTTACAGCAGCACTGCGTCGCCGGTTCACAAAGACCCGTACCAAACCTCGCCGTCGATGTCAACTGCTCCTCTCCCGAGTACGAGAGCCCGCTCCAGATCACACAACCATGGGCCAAGGCTGTCGGTCAAGACACACCTCACCGGCCCAATCAAGACCTCCCGCCATGCCTCCCTGGCGGAAAAGCTCGACGAAAAAAGGGCTACGGCCATTGCAGAGCAGGATGCCGCCAGCAATGCGATACAGATCGACGACGAAGAGGACGACGCCGAGACCGACCTTCTGGCGGACCTCAGGGGTGTCGAAGAGGAGGAAGACTAGATCACAGATCTGTGAAATGCCCTGGGGAAAGCGGCTTTTTTGGTTTGTCCGCGAATATGAACCAGGGACGTGCCGGCCAATTTGGACAGGGCACGGAACACAATTTTGACCATGGCGAAGTGCTACAATGGGGTAGCATGGAGTGGCACGGCCCTGCGGGAGGCCACGACCACAAAAGTCGGAGGAAGATTTTTGATTGCCTCGACCTCATGAGCCACATATGGATGATGGCCTCCGTGATCTTGATCTATGCTGCAGGCTGTGTGCAGCCTGCAGTGTGCGGAGGAGGCCTCACACTCCTGGCAACAGGAGGAGCCTCTCTGCTTGTGATGATGGTACAGCCTGATGGAAGAAAACGACGGGGACGCTATGGAACCATGCCGGAGAAGATCTGCCTCATGATCTGTTTTGCCAGCATGGTACGTGGTGCGACCGCAGTCCCCGCAGCGCCTCGTGGATCAAGGACTCCAACGCGGCCAAGAATGAGCGATTTGGAGCTGTGGGCGGCTGGACAGTCGTCTGCGAGAGAACAGTTGGCTGCAGCTGAAGCAAGATGGGTGTTAGAGCTACCAGTGGAACACAATACCTCCATTGCCAGGGCCCCCCGTTTCGAGATCTCTGCTGAGCCACCGGAGCCAGACCCGGACACCATTGACGTGGACAGAATCCATGCTACGGCGTGGGTCGCTGTGCCCTACCACGTGCCGGAGATCCTTGACTTTGAGCTCTGCCTGCCTACTACGCTGCAGCAGCTAAACGAGGCGGTGCAACAGACCAGCGGCCGGGATGAGCACTACCGCATGGATTTTATGCCTACGGTACCCCAGTTGGGGCAAGGGTATGCCAGCTACGTGGCCTGCCCAGCATGGGTCAAGGAAACGGCTATGGTCGTGCTGTTGATCGACGCCACGGCAATCGACGGGGGCGTCTTCGCGGCCTATGCCCAGAACCCTGTGACTCGAGAGAGTGTCCTCATGCATATGGTAGAAGGATGGCCAGCTGGCCTCCGTGCTTTCATTGGGGGAAGCTCAAGGCCTATGCGAACAGGACAGGAATACCACACCACCCCCGGCAGTGTCATCAAAATCCTCCGGCCAGGTATGGAACCGAGATGGCAGGATGAGTTGCAGCACCGCTTGCAGGACCCATCCCGATGGTGTCCCGAGGCGGCTTTGCCACACCCGTTGGGAAAGCTGCATATGGTATATCAGGCAGCAGATGATCAAGTTCTTGAAGAGATTGAATCGGACGATGATCGCCCGCTGGAAGTATCTGCTGAAGAAGCCCTCCGCTACGAACATGGTGATGTTTGGGTAAAGGTGCCATCAGAAAGATTAAGCGACCTGGCCCACATGGGGCGACGAGTTTGGGGGCAAGTTGCGGTGCTGGACGGATGGGACCAATACAGCCCGCGTGCCCCTGTCATCTTCACTGACCTCAGGGGCCTGGACCTCTTCCCTCAATGGACGCAGCTAGAGGGCAACGTCTTCAGGCCTGTGGAGTTCTATGACACTTTGGGCCTCCCGCCCCTTCCGGGATGGACACTGTTAGTGCAAGGAGGCGAACCACGTGACGATGGTGAAAACATTGATGTTGTCAGCGGTGATGTTCTCACCCTCTTCCTACACAAAGAGGATCCGAATGAGGCCGGTGAAAGTGAGGAGGGCGAGAATGACACGGATGGGGACAACTCTGACGGAGAGTCCGGACCAGATTCGTCGAGTACCCATGACTGCCTCCCAAGCTCAAGTGAGCTGACCTCGCCGAGTCCAGGGGCCAACGATGGACCACCACGAGGTCCACCCCCCCCGCGGCCTGTCAACGAGCCTCCAGACCGCAGCAGATCCCCACGACGCCTACAGGATGCAGGGCAAGGGAACCCACTCGTGACTCTCTGCCTCCAAGAATGCATGGGTCATACCACCTTCGATCTGACTGGGATGACGCTGCCCCTGCCACATCGCTGGAAGGACATCGAGCCAATATTCCAGCCCTGGCCCGGCAACTGGATGTCGTGGAATTTGGAGGAAGTTGAACTACATGATGCTACAGTGCGGGAGCTACAGAATGTGGAAACCATTGAGGAACTGCTCGGGAAGACCACAACCGCCCTTCCTGAAATCCATGTTTACACGGATGGATCTGCTGATGAGAAGAGCAAGATCAGCGGCTACTCGGCGGTGATCCTACTGAGGATTGGCACAGCTGTGGCTGTGTTCGGACTTTTGGGCGGGCAGCTTCTGGGCAGTAGCTCCTCTCCATGGCCATTGCAAGGACCTGCGGCCCTCACGGCGGAACAGGTCGCTGTGGCTGCTACATTGTTGTGGGTGGTGCAAGCTCGAATGATGTTGCCTTACCTGGAATGTTATTTGCATGTGGACTGTCTGGCAGCTGGAAGAGCCGCAAATGGACAATGGGCCCCGGTAGACGACCTCTCAGAGCGGATCCACAACCTCGAGCTCGCAATCCGTGAGACCCCCGGGGTGAGCGTTCGCATTGAACATGTCAAAGGCCACTCAGGAAATGGATGGAACGAGCTGGCTGATGGTGTTGCCAAGCGCGCAGCTCGAGGGGGAAGTGGCTTTTCTGAACCGCCGATCGGCGCCTGCACAGCCCTTCTTGAAGCCAACTTGGACTGGTTGAGTCTTGAGCTGGCGGCCAGGAACCACGGAGCTGTTGAGGTCAAGGACCGATCCCTTTGCTGGTCGGAGACACCCTCT